GATTGATTCACTTCCTATCATAAAGTAACTAACCTACTGTATTGATTCACTTCCTATCATAAAGTAACTAACCTACTGTATTGATTCACTTCCTATCATAAAGTAACTAACCTACTGTATTGATTCACTTCCTATCATAAAGTAACTAACCTACTGTATTGATTCACTTCCTGTCATAAAGTAACTAACTTACTAAATTGATTCGCTTCCTATCTCAGACTTAATAACTGTCTTTTTTTTATAGATTGTATATCTTCAGACTCCTAACAGAAAATCCTCCCTTCAAAAAGGGAGACCAGAATCCTCTAAACACAGAGGAACTTGTGGAGACGTTGTGGAAACTCATGAAGTAAGGTGGATGAATACTCGTTCTTTCTATGTGAAATGTAACAGGGCTTATTTAGACTTCTGTCCAACTGTTTTCTGACACGTTTTAAGGATCCTACATGTTTCCTAGCTAGAAGAACTTTATTAATTTATTTTTAATTTCATACATTGGGCTCCTGAATGGTGAGAGCAATTATAGGAACAATGACATTTGTGGCAACCTGACTACACTGTTTATGGTGATGTTATTTTGTAACATTAAAACTGAATATAGTCGACAAATTCTCACTTCCGTATTCAAATAAATAAAAAACCAAAATACATATACTTGTCAAAAAACTTTAAAATTTTCATTTTATGGTTATCTTTCAACAAAACCAGTGGTCAGTTTTAATGATTATGTTTTCTATTCATTTTAAACTAACACTTGGCAGAACATATCAATAGTTATATTTGCTTTCGACCTATATAAGTCATTTGTAAGATAGTCAGATATAATGAAATTTATAATATATTTACTTTGATATTTCATTTATATAGATTTTGTTTTGATAAAAGATATTACAAGTCTTATTGAGGTATAATGTTTCACAATTTACTGATATACATGTAGATCACATGTTAAGTTCCATAATATTATATCTGATAAAAAAATCAGTTTTATAGAGCGTTCGTGTTGAGTCAGCTGATGAGGCCTTTCAAGAATATCCTAGCACTTACTGAAAACCTATCTATGTTCAATAAAGAAAGATTTGTAAAATATTATCATGAGACTTAATATGGCATAATATCAAACAAACTACTAAATCAAGAGATCATACCTCATCAGCATAGGTGTTGTGTACCACAAGCATTTTATTATGAATGAAGCATTTAGTATTAGGAAAGTATTGTTAATACTGATAATACATTATTAAGATTGGTGTAGTATTGTTAATACTGATAATACATTATTAAGATTGGTGAAGTATTGTTAATATTAATAATACATTATTAAAATTGGTGAAGTATTGTTAATACTAATAATACATTATTAAGATTGGTGAAGTATTGTTAGTATTAGTATTGTTAATACTGATAATACCTTATTGCTATTGATGAAGCATTGATAGTATTACTAAAGTATTGTTAACACTGATAATACTTTATTGCTATTGATGAAGCATTGATAGTATTACTAAAGTATTGTTAACACTGACAATACATTATTGCTATTGATGAAGCATTGATAGTATTACTAAAGTATTGTTAATACTGATAATACTTATTGCTATTGATGAAGCATTGATATTATTACTAAAGTATTGTTAATACTGATAATACCTTATTGCTATTGATGAAGCATTGATAGTATTACTAAAGTATTGTTAACACTGATAATACCTTATTGCTATTGATGATACATTGATAGTATTACTAAAGTATTGTTAACACTGATAATACCTTATTGCTATTGATGAAGCATTGATAGTATTACTAAAGTGTTGTTAACACTGATAATACCTTATTGCTATTGATGAAGCATTGATAGTATTACTAAAGTATTGTTAACACTGATAATACCTTATTGCTATTGATGAAGCATTGATAGTATTACTAAAATATTGGTAAACTATATTTGTGCAATGTTTTTTTAGGATCATTTTATTTCTGTAACAGCAGCATAACCTTTCTTAAAGTTTTCTTAAAGGGGGGCTTTAATAGTAACAAAACCTTCCTCAAACAAGTAAAGTTTTCTAGTTACTAGCAAGGAGAGAGGAGGGAGGGGGGGG